ATTTATCTCGATCATGAATATTCAAAAATTTAACCAATTAACTAACACAGAGAACGTAACTTCTGTTTGCACACAAACAAATTCTAATTCTTGACAAGGCATAGATATGTTAAATAACATTTTGCGACAGACTACCTGCACATATTCCGAATAGACGGAGTTGATAAATGTAGGATTCAGAGGTGCATTGAATGTCAACATACTAAACCAGCGCAATATCAGGAAATTGAATACTGACTCCACTGAATCCATTTTCCTTGAAATAGAAGTTTTACTAGTTAATAAAAACTGGGATTTGAATGTTCACTCGAAAACGAATGCTGATATTACTAATTAATTTATACATTTTCTTAAATGGGCTGGGAAAACTTATTATAAGATGTTTGTTTTAAGGAGGACAAAATGAGTCAACAGTCGTCTCTAAGGAAGGTTGCACATTTTGAGGCAATGCTGAATTTTTATCAATTTTTTCCCACTATTAAAAAACGTAAAAACCATACTATCTTATTTATTTCTACACTGGAAATAAAGTAAAAAGAAAAGAATCGGCCATCTTCGCCGAACTAACCCCTCTGAATACATGTACTTTTCGAGATGTCCATAATCAAACACAAAATTTTCGGCGTACGTTTCGTTTCTGGAGAAAATAATCATAATACAATGATCATCTCTTCCCATGGGGCCTAGAATAATCAACAAGTCTATGGTTTGTAGGTGCAGAATATAAGTTAGGTATATATCTTTCTTTTTTAGCAGGATTTACAATGGATCCTGTATGGAAAAGACATTGTGAGCCGCATTTTAAGCAAGCTCAGCTAATCTTACGTTTGAAGCCGCGTGCATATCTGATATACCTAACTCCACAAGGGAAAAACCGGGAATAAAATCGATGCAGCCAAGACCCAGTGAATACAAATAGAGTATACCCGCAGAAAAAAAAAACCGGGGAATTGAACTGAAGATTCAACACGCTGTTGGATTTGGATGCCACGGGTCATGGCCATGTTAGGCTACACGTATATACAAGATGCTTCTTCCATTATTCATTGATGGCATTTAAAAGTATTCTCAAAGACATTCAACGGACACTCCATCTCAGGAGACAGATGTTGTCTTTACCTGTTGACTTTTCCATGATTTAATGGGGGAGCAGATCAGCACAAGTGGGAGTCGAAGGTGGGAATAAGAGGGAAGAGAGGAAAAAACCCCAAAATTACCAGTTTTTATGAAAATGCATGCCTCGGAATCGACCCGCTCCAACAGTCACTTTTCGTGAGTCTGCTGCTCTTAAGTGCTTTAACCTATAACCCACCTCACCCCACACTTTCTTGGCAACGCCCATGTCAGTACTGTATTTAGGAAGGCATTTGAGTACAGGGAAGGCTCCCAAGTCATTGAGCACGAATTGAAGATAAAAGCTTCTGCTTGGGACGAGTCCGAAGAGTAGTTACGTCCAAAGATGGTATTCACGCAGCGTTTGATCAACGCGTGATACCGTTCAAATGAACTGGGGCTTTTCCCTGCGGTGCGCAAAAATTCAGAGAAATTAACTCACGTGGACACTTTAAATTCGCGCGCAATAAAGCGCGCCAACTGTCGCGTGCACACAACGGGGGCAGAAATAAGACATGGTGTTAACAGTGTGTCACCTTACGGCCATCTCGTTATCCACCAGTTCAAGAGTCCTGCTGGTTGACGGCTTCCAGCAGTTACTACGGTCATTTCTAGACGGGGGTGCAAGGAACTCTTAACAAGTTGGCTTTCAAAACCAACGTCAGCCTACAACCGTAAAAGCGGCTTTTCCTGATTCCTTTACACTGTGTTCGCGCGGACGTATGTGTTATGGTTTCTTTTTCAACGCTTTGTATGAAAATGAATGAATAAATAAGTAAATCTAAGATAGGATTTTTGCTTCAGTGATTTGTTTGTTTCATTTTGCTCAGGGTTTGTGTGCTTTTGCCTTTTCGATCATCCCATTAGATTCCAACTTGAAGTTCGTTGACCTGCTGAGAATACTAATCACTCATAATTTCAAGTGTAAAGCAAACACTGCCTATTATTACAGCGAGATAACGAATGTGTCTAAGGGTGTTTCGCCTATTTAATCAACAACTATGCTCCATGGCCAAAATAACATATGCAACGGGGTCAGTTCTCGTTTCTGAGTTAGCGTTTCTACAAACTATAACATTTTGGACTACTTGAAAATTTTAAAAAGTCTCTGCAACACAAAAAGGACGATTTGAAAACTAACAGGGCGGGTCCAGCCCTCTTGGCCTTCAATAATTTAAGAAACATATTTTGTCAAATCAATTTAAGCAGACTAAGCGATGCACATCGACTCTGGATGGCAGTATTCTTGCTGGGCTTCTTCTGGTCACGTAGCTGTTTAGTTAAGCTCATGTTCGGCTTGATATTAGGAGCTAACTGAATTTGACTTAATTTAATGTATCTAGCAGACTAAAACGGATGCATACATCTTCATCTTTCACCGGCGAGAATTCACGGCGAGGTTTCTACTGTCAATGCTGATAATTATAGCGTTATTGAACCTGGATTCCTGGTGCTCAACCTAAAATTGCAATTAATACCGGTACAATGGCTTCATTTTATTATCCGAAGCCTTCTTTGAAAACTCCAGAACCGCCTTTACGAATAAAAATGAACAGCGCTGATTGATAAGATGCCGATATGAATTTTTTAATGGCAAAAATCCCGCATATGAAAGAATTTCGTGTTCACACAGATTTTCACGGAGCGAAGTGGAGCTGGGAGCAAATTCCATCGGAGTCATTCTGTGGGGAAATTCTTTACGGTTGGCTTTATTTTTTTAAATTTTAAATAGGAATCACCCGACCTGCTGCGGAAATGGGTAGCCACGGATAAAAAGCAGAAGTACTTTTAAGTTGAAGCCGTATTTTGGTTTCACGATAAAGCGCACAAGCTGACTCAAACCCGGCAAAATGTCAAAGGATCAACGCAGGATAAGTCCAAAATGTGAAGTTTTTTATGACGGTATACAGACATTTGTCATTTACAAACATTGCCTACCTTTTTTGTATGTGCTGCCATGCAAACTCTGCAGATGGTTTACCCTTGACTAACACTTTGTTAAAACAAAGTGCCTAATAATGTTTGTCCTATTTAAGTTAAAGGGTATTTGAAGGAAGGATTCTCGTTTAGAGTTTGATTTTAGAGCAGCTTGAGATATTTTGACACATTGTGAGTTATTCTTTTGTTTGTATACTGCTGACCAGCCAAGGATTTGCAGCCACCTGTAGGCAAAAATGCAGCTGTGAATTTGTCTTGTTACTTCACGTAATTTTTTGGACAAGTAACAACTCTACCGTTACTTAGAAATGCTCCGTCTCCTTAGGCCTAAACCAAAAGTTTGTCGGTGTAGAAAACATGTTGTACTACGTTTTAGACAAATTCGTCACTGGCAGAGTATTGCAGAGAAATCCATCATCAGCAGTGAAAATATCAAGGCCAAAACGACATAAAAAAAACAAAAGCTTCAGTACAAAGGTACGACAACATTGAAATAACTTCGTCCATCACTGTTCAGGAAACTACACAGTAGTGGTGGGCAAATGCGGCCTTGATTTTGCCCTTACATGGCGATTTCTCGCAAAGACCAAAGGGGGATCAACCAGCTCTAATACTTTTTAACTGCGCATGTGCAGCGCTGTCACCCAAGTTTCAATTCACACCGTCGCAAATTTTACGTCTGCTGCATTCTCAAGCTCTTCCGTGGACATGGAAACAACAGCATCAGCGGCAAGTGCAAAGTCTAATGGCAACTGGAAAGCAGAGAGAGGAGTCATGACCCTCCCCGGTATCTTTATATGACCATTCAAATAAGCGTTCAGTCACACCGCGAGCCAGACAGAAACCAAAGATTCCCCGGCTGGCCGTCAGCAGCGCTATGGCCCGCTCATCTGCCGCGCATTTCCGCTTTTCGTCAATCCCACTTCAAACGCAAGCACTCCTTGCACCTGCACTCGTACATTATTTGCAGTCATTGTCTCCGCCCGCGCATTACTGATAATGCAGTATTTTCGTGAAAAAACTAAACTTTCCTTGCAACCGCTTTAGAATGCAATGAGGAAAACAACACAGGGGAAGGTCTACACACTCATATCGGCTGCTCTCTGAAAGCAGGCAAAACATAATGACATCAACTGGCATTGGAAATCGAGGATAATTGTGTAGTTCAATTACTTTGATGCATCATCTATGTTCTCTGAAGGTGTCGTACAACGACACATCATGACAAAGCCAGCATGCATGTAGGAATGACTCCTTTTATCCACTACATTTAACGACAAAGATGGAAAACGGGGGACAAACAGGCCATTTAATTGAGCATAATGTTTGTGTTTTCTTCTTGAAAAAAAGTGGGCGTAGGCCTAGAGGGTGTGCGTCTGTAGATATACGAACGTGGCACCCCCGGCGGAATTTTTCGAGTAGTGGCGTGTTGGCACTAAGCACCCTCGCTCAAAAGCATTGACTCGCCCTTGGATACAAAATCTATGGCAACACCTGTACAGACCGCATGCTACAGGGCTTGTCTTCCCCTGTAATCTGATTATAAGGACAAGAATTAGGGCACCTGCGAAGATAGATGCACAAAAAAAAATTAAGATAGCAAACTTTGCGGGAGCAAAATGGCTGTAATGCCTACCGTACGGATACTCAGTTCACAGTTTTGATATCCTTCCGCTTTTTTCTTAATTTTATTTTATTCATTCCACGTCTGCTGATTTAAATTTATTTTTAAATAATTCTCGCATGTTCAGATTTTATTTTTCTAACTCGATACAAGTGATTTTTACAAAAACTTTATTTTGCTTTTCACTTTTGTAAAATTTTGTTTATTAATCTAATTTTGTCTATTTGTTCTATAATTACAACTTGCATTAGGTACTCGGTGTCAACACTTGTGGCTAATAGGAAACGAAAATGCAATTAAAATTAAGGATAGACGTTGCACTTACCTTTCGGAGACACTCCATCTTGTCAAATATGCCTGGGACTTCAGGTTTAGGAACGGCAGTGTGGTAGTGGGAAGACGACAGGGGGCGTGTCGGGTGTGAGTGGCAGGTAGGCGTCACGGATTGGTATGTAGACGGACGGGTACGAAAACCGTTTACAAACACACTGCTTCCTTGCATGTTAGGCGATGCGGCGCCCACAGAAGAAATGAAGCACTTGCCTGCTCCTCCATTATATTGTACGTGGAAAAAATGTCTTAGTCAACGACAGCGAAAAAAGATTCCCTGTACTTTGGTGATCTGGTGCCCTTGCCAGCAATGTTCTGGCTAATATCGCATCAGTGGTGCGTGTACACCGCTAGTCAAGGCCGCTTGTAGTAGCTGCCTCAACAGTCTCCCAGGACAGAAAAATCAATGAGATTTTTGGCCGACGAAGCTGAAACCTTACCGTTTATTTCAGTGCACACGTGTTTCAGTTGCCTACATCAGCAGATACAAAACGGGCGAAGAGTATTTTTGTTTTTCTACTGTTGATTTTAAACTTCCAACTGGGCGACGTACCGTCTGCCACTCCACTTTATCTGCTGGTTTGCGTTTTTAACACCTACCCCGTCCCTTGGCCGCAAGACATCAAACCCACAGTACCTCTCCTCTGGAAGGAAAATGTTCACTGTCGTACCTCTCCTAGTGTTCATCACAGATCCAATTCCAATGTTTGTCAAATTGGATTGAAAACGACAAGAAAATAGTGGACGAAGATGATACTCCACGCGGGGTAATCATTTGCTTCATCTAATCCCCACGATGTTTCACGTAACAACAGCAATCGGCGATAAGCTGTAGGAAAAAATTCAACGGCTTGCTTGTGTGGGCTTGAAAGATGACTGCTAGATGGGTTTAGTACCCCGAAGCCTTTTCTCTTGAGTGCACAGTTGTCTATACCATTGCTGGATCAAGGTGTTTCCAAGGCATCTATAAAAAAGCTACGAGACCGGCTTGCAGCCAGCGAGCAAACAGGCATCGCAAAGCAATCACTCGTTTATTAGCATTGGTAACACGTCCGTTGGAACGGTCGGCCGACACAGTTACCATGACGGACTCGAACCCCGCATGAAGACTGCGTACGCTGCACCTATGCGTCTGTTTTCGCCTGAATCTCCAGCAGCCAAGCTTACGACAGTTACAACCTCCGTACACAAGAATGGTGTGACACAAAAGCAACGCCTACTCACTCACACGCGGCACCACTGGATACCTTTAAAATGAAAGGGATCATCCAGTCAGTGCGGTTCATACCATAAGACCCGATGAAAACGCAAGCCTAGTATCAGTCATGTCATGTGCCTCGAAATATATCGCATACACAAGTATACGCAACACAACGTTGGTATCTGTATATAGAGAGATCGTTTGAATATTAAATTGACGGCAGTACACACAGACACACGTCATACCTGCACATATGTTGCCATTTTAGAATTACAAAATGGGAAGGATACAGTGCATGGGTCGTAAAAACGGCAATTAGGATTCATCTCCACCACCAAGTTCTCTCATTACACAGGAGCAGTCAGAAGCGCGCTCAAATTACGTCTATGTCCTACATCGTCGGTACGTGTATTATCTAATCGTGATGTGCAAGTTTTTTTGGTTTGCTGCAATAAAACATAAAACACAAGGCATTCCAAGGACAAGGATTCATTAGTAGGTTGGGTGGTTTGGGGGAAAGTGTCAGGATTCTGGGTACAAAGGTCATAAAGAGAATTGGTGTTTTCATTTGTAAAATAGAGGCAAATCCTGTTGGGGACGTGGATTTGATGTATAATTTTCCGATATGGAGATACTTTGACAAGGGTTTGGAGAAAGGGGTCTCTAGAGGCACGCGGATGGTTTTGAATTTTGTACTTAAAGTACTATGGAAAAATATCAATGGGAAATGGTTTATACATGTATCGCCAGAAAGCGCTTTCATGGTTTGTGTTTTAGCTGGAGCTTTGTTGCTGGGAAATTTAATGTGGGAAGCTGCTAAACCACCAGGCAGTCAGCTAACAGTAAGCAGCAGTAAGCAGTAAGCAGTAAGCAGTAAGCAGTGGTGCAACGGGGGGGGGGGATGAACGAGTACCCGTCTTGAGGCCTGTGCCCCAGTGTAACCTCTCCCCCCAGAAATTAACGGAAGAAAAATTCCGGTCCTAGTCTGCGTTGGTCAATGTTTTACTGTAACTGCACCTCATTGAGTGCCCCTCTTGAGGGTCCCTAAGTGCCCTCTGCAAAATGTACCCCAGTAATACCACCGCCCACCAGCCCTCCTATGACGGCCGGCCCACAAACCCGTCACCAGTCAGTCAACATCCAGCCAGAATATGCACCCTGAGCAGGTCGGTTGGAGGAGAGGCAGTCAGCTGACCAATCAGCCAGCAGTCTAGCCAGGTAGCCAACATCAAACAGCTAACACAACACCATTCAGCCAGCCAAACAACCTCTATCCAGCCTAACAACCTCCATCCTTTGCTAACATATCCTTTAAACTTTCATCCGGGGAATTAGCACGCCAGCCAACCAGCAAGCATCTAACCCGCCAACCACCTTTCATCCATCCAAACCAGAAACAATTAATTATGTAAAAGGCCGCGTTTTCTTTCTGCGGTACTTATAGAGGACGCTATTCATATTTTACAGTTACCGTCTGAGCGGCTAGGGACTGTTACCATGTGGGGAAACTGAATGGGCTATGCACCTTCTCCGGCGTCAGTGGGGTAAAACAAAAAGCTTTACTGATTTTGACATCCATTGCATTCTCGATTTCTTTTCCTGTTTTGAAATAGGGATTGTTTGTTTCTGTGGAGTCTATTTCATCATTTTCCTGCTCGTAGTTTTCGGGCAGACCTGTCTGGCCAGTGATGGATCATGGAGGTAGGAACCATTTACAAGAGAGAGCGGCAGTTGCACTACATGTGGTGCAACGTTGGGGTAACCCAAGAAGATATGGGATGTATCTTTTGTGAGAATTTCTCTTTTGAAATATCAAATTATTCTGCAGTTGAAAGAAAACAAAAATTTGTTGTTGTAACAAATGAACAGGAATTTCCATCAGTAGAATCTCAGAGACGAGTGCCGCCCGGCTGTTGCACTTATGGATCTGTTACCGTATATACTGTTGAATCATCAACAATCAACATTCACTATATACCTGACAGCTTTTATACAGAGATCACTGAGAAGAAATGGACCAGAACACGGTTGGGATCGGTTTCATTGTCGAAAATAAAGGAAATTAAGATTATCAATGAAATAAATCAGCATCAGTCCTTTAGCTCACTGTATTCGCACCTAGAAAACTGCCTTGTGAGTTCTGACATAGTGAGGGAAAAACCCAAAAGTTATGCGCTGTTGACCAAGCATTCAGGCGCACGGACTCCTGAAATTCGCTACAAATCGCAGTTACCGGCTTCCATATAGGACTCTTCTGGGGTCTCGGGGTTCCCAGCCCACCACACTTCCTCCCTGCCCATCCATTTAACCCAAAAAGGGTCGAGCGACCATGCAAGGGAGGAAACGAGACAGGCCCCTAAGCCCTGGCCGCCGAGTCGGCCATACGTCTCGAACCTGTACTAAGGCGCTCACCTGGACTTCGCGGACGGTCCCAACAGAAGAGCTTACCCGGTCGGCTAAGGTACTGCTGGTATTTGACGGGGTGAATTAGAGTCTCTTATAGCTACTGACTGACAGCAAGTATGGACCGGCCTTTATACCAAGTACATGCAAACATAAAACATAAAACTCAATGTACTATCTTCAATTTGAATCACAAAAGCCTGACTGGAATACAATTTCAATATAAATTTCATTTGAGGAAGTAAAGACATACAAAAAGTTTGATGACGGAATTACAGGATACAAAATGATGACTATGAATAAACGTCTTTGAAAAGGCTGTGTGTAAAGAGCTCTGCGATGTATGAACCGATTGCTGAAAGAATTCGTTTATCAAGCATGGAATAACAGGGAATTGTGAATAAAGTCCTTTCTTGCCAAGTCTGCGTAAAATAATTTTGAATATTAGATCTGAACTCTGCATTTATAATATTTCCTTCCCCTTTGTACCTATCTTATAAATGCCACTCGTGGAAAATTTACTATATTAGAAATACACTACCAACTTGAATCTAAATTGTGGGATTTTATGGGTGTGTTTGTCAAAGTATTTATATAGTGCTTTCAATTGACAACGCAAAACAAATAACGGTACTAGTGGATAAAAAGTTCTTCAATTGTCAAATCTTCCCTCAGTTGTTTAAATTTTGTCTTGCAAACACAAGCAAGCAAAAAATCAATGGAAATTCAAGGCCTCACTTGATTTCTTGCCATTTGAATTTTCCCGAAATTGTTTTATTCTCCCAATAACATAAATAATTAAAAGTAAATTTCTTAGAAGTTTAAAAGTGACCGCGAACACTTTCATCGCCCAAACAAAAATATGAGCTGATGAACGAATGGAAATGCATCATTGGGCCCGTTCGAATGAATTTAAATAATTTTGCTTGCATAGCTGTTTAGTAAGTGACGTCATACGGCTTCTCATTTGTAGCCCCAAAAGGATTGGAATTGTAACCGGGATAAGGTGGTGGGGGATCGACTGATGGGCCTCCGTAGATGGGCGGAGAAGCAGCTGTCCCGTCGACAGATGGGGATAAGGATGGGCTCATGGTGGCGTGCTCAGTTGAAAGCGGATATGGCGGTGGCGGACGTGCTATGTTGGCTGTAGGATTGTCAGATCTTTGGGAGGCAACTGTGAGAGAAAATTGATTCGGACTTGGTCAACGATTTAACCCTTCAGTTTAGGGTCCACAATTTCCACAAATTCTAATAGTAGAGAATTTGAGGGCATTCAAGTTGACTTTTTAGCCGATGTGGGCAATTCGGGACCCCTTTAAATATTGGTGTAAAACCTGCAGACTGACGATAATGTGTAAAATACCGTTTTGAAAAGGTTTCAAAGCGATTGCGCCTGTTCACTGTACCACAAAAGTAGTATTAAAAGAAACAGAAGGGTGAACGCCTACATAGGGACTTAAATATTGTATGTCTGAGTCGATAAGACCGTACCTTCCAAATGGCTTGGTGTTTCAATGGAGTGTAAGCATACTGTTCTATAATAACGGCAAGCTTCATGACTACAATTGTTCGGGGGTCATGCTATGAAAATGAAAATATCTTCAAAAGTCATCAGTTAATCTAGCAAAACTGAAGTCTGGAAGACAGGATATAAGCTCCAGTTCAATGTAGGTGTTGAGCATCTGAGAGATGTGTATTTTTCCGCTAATATATTTGAAGCAAAGGTATCTCTCATGGTTGTCCGTGATAGCCTATTTACTGCTCTGTAACCAGCAGCTTGGTGGGCGTGAAAAGTCGCAGATTACATGTAAAATTGTTATAAAAGCAAAAGCGGGACTCTGATAAAGCGGAATCAGGACGATAAACTGAGCTAAACGGTAGAAAATTCTATTTTAGGACTGACAAAGAAAACAATAGCTACGTGGAATTGGTCGTCTCCATTGACAGTACTGTAATAGATTTGAATCCATGACAGAACGAATCATGGAGCCTTGCAAGATGGAGGCAACAAGTTACAGAAAAAAATATATTTTTCAACTTTTATAAAGTTCGGACGATTTTCCATTTAAGTTTCATTCCGTAAAACCATTTTACATAGGCCAACAACGAACATACTGGTCCTTGTTTTACGGAAAACCGGATTCAGTTGGTAAGCGGTTTTTAAGTCATACTGGTTATGGTGTCAAGTTTAAAAAAAACAATCACCGGGTCATGGGACCACTTCATTTGAATATCACTTAGCATCTAACACTTTCATGTTTTCGTACCATCTTACAGTCGATGTAAGGTAACAATACTTTATTGCTCTTATTTCTCCACTTTTCCAAGTAAAAATACCCCACTTAAAGGTGGGTACGGCCCACGCCAACTCCGTCCCGATGGAATCTTACTGGCAGTGGAACCATAACCACAGCTGCATTGTGGCTCTTTACATAAATTTAGCCTGAACAATGACATGCATTATCTTCATCTATAAAAGAACAAATGCATACTTAATGGTCTTACCATACATTACTGGTTCTTGACGCGAGCGCCGGCTCCGAATGACGAGTAATCGAACTATGAAACAAAACGCCGAAAGCATTAGGAGAACGCCCGTCATTATCGCAAAAGTGTAGCCAATACTGAGTTGAAAAAGAAAAGGAAATACACAATTATTAGTCTCGGAAGGAAACTTGACAGTAAACTTTCATCTGCATGTTGGTTCTTTTAGGCCCCGGGCTGCCCCCACTGGTTAGAAGAACAGGAAAAATTGCTAAATTAGCCCGAAGGCGTTTTTGCAGTTTTCAATTATTTTACATTTTACCCCAGGTAAGCAGTTGACTTATGCAATGCTTTTAAACCTTTTACATTTATTCATTTATAGTATAATATTTTCAAAGAAGGCATCTCCTTGAGATCGCCGCCATTGATTACAATTAATTCTTGATGAATTGATTCATTTTACGTTGTAAAGGGTCCATGTGAAGAATTTTCGGAGATATTTAAGTCTTGCAACTGTCTATATAATCGTCTTTGTACGGATTTGCTGAAGTCAGATAAAACTCTCAACAAAGAGTAATAGAGGCATTATCGAGCGCATCATCTGTTGAGAAAGTATTATGTAGTTACAGTGCTGGGAGAGATTCAATTCACAGAATGCTCTACCAAACAAGCATCATTTATGTAGGCCTACCTACCTCCAGTGAGAATTTGTGTACCACTTATATAAACTTTCGTCGCAGCAGAAATTGTAGGTTCCGGAATCGCTTCTGCAGCAGTACGTTTCATCAGCGTTCTCCCAGATATACTGCGGGCAGTCAAATGGCGGCACATATTCACCCGTGCTGTCCACATAGGACGGGCAACCGCCTGGAAGGAGGGTGGTGATTTAAAAACGAACTCATAAATTTGGAGAGAACATAGTGTTACCGTGTAATATAGTACAATGCCATTTCTCGATCGTGGCTCTCTATTCGAGAACCCAATTGGTATTCACTGAAATTATGACTTCAGGCGCCATCAACAGCGCAGAAAGGATAGAGGGAAAAGGTGCCCCAGGACATGCATTGCTCCTACCATCACGCAGCGCAATTTGAAAGACGATTTTACCTTGCCAGAGACAATGCGTTTCGTTTCTTCAAAGCGAACGGTTGTTTTTGTGTACGTTCAAGAAGTTTCTTTATAAGTATGAAGTTTCACTGCAAGTATCAGAATTATTCCGCTAATTTTGTACGCAGGCTGTGGGCCAGGATCTGCGCTATCGCCTGCAGTTAATTGGGTCTGTTTCATAAGTGTCTCATTTGGTGTAGAATGGGATCTCAATTGCTCAAAAGCCGTCTTTTCCATCTTTAAAATGGCGAGAGATTTTTAAGAAGTAACAATACCGTAATAGAACTGATAAAGATTGGGAGATTCTCACCAAATGAAAGCCCACAGACAGACAGCAAAAGACCACAGTAAAGACTTGCTCGAGCAGCCATGTTGGTCGCCGTTGTATACTTTGCCCGAGTAAAGTTCATAATCTAAATGTTAACACAGACTTTAAAATAACCGGTTAACCTGTATCAACCTCAGAATAGTACAAAGGTCTCCTCTTCAGTAAGTGCTACGTGTGAAATATTCTGATAATAGTATGCGTAATGGTCCTTCGTTTTATACAGAAGCCACAGCTCTTCCCATAGTTTCTATTAGCGTCTGCCTCATTTTTCACCTTTGAAAAATAATATGTAAAGTGCAAAGGAAGAAAGCTTCAAATATTTTAACATCTAGGCTTTTGGAAGTAGATTGGCCACCCCAAAACCAATATGAAAATCAACACGAGAGAAATAAGAAGCAAATTTTTTCCACAACCAACTGGGCCGATGTTGGAAACACAACACGCGAGGTCAAATTTTGTGTTTATGTAGTTGATGACGTCACGGAGAGAAAGGCACAACAGGCATGCATGAAGCGTGCATGAAGATACATGTAAACTGGCATTGTTGCGGCCCAAATGCATTAAAATGAGGAGTTTTGATGACGTGCAGAAATGCACAATATCACACATTAATATCTTACATGCATCCACTTAAAATCCTACTCTTAGCTGGTCAAAATAATTGCGAGATATGTTCAGAAATGAAGAAGTATAAGACGTTGAAGGTGGAGAGAGGAACGTGTCTTTACTAGCATACATGTGAGGGCGCACTCGTGTTCATGTGGAGTGGCAACAGACTACATGTACATTTATTCATAATAATACGTCACGGAGAATAAAACGATCAGTAGGGAAGTACCCAGGCCAATCTTGGGCCGATCGCGAGTACGTCATCATGCTTATGTGTGTAAATGTTAGGATTCTAGAAAAAAAANCGGCAACGGCTAAACCGTGTCGGATTTTTCTAGTGGAAGTGAGTGGATTCCATTCTTATGACAGTTACTACAACTTATTCGGCGATAAATAAGGACGACAGCACGGAACCTCTCCGCGTTGCTGGGCTTTGGCGGTCCCGAACCTGGCGATGGTCACAGTACCGTACACCGGCAGCTGCAACACAACACAAGCAGTCAGTGAGGCTTTAATATGTATCGAGAGATATTGGGAGCTATAGCCTGATACATTGACGTGTTATAGGCCGATACCGAAACCGAGGACCAAATACCAGACATGGAGTTCTACGCTGGTGGCACCTACAAATACACCTGCTACGACTTCGACGTCAGAGGGTACGGCTGACACAATGAGGGTTGGGTCAACTGATGGAACGGATGGGGTAGCTGGTGCGGGGAGATCTCCTGGTGAGCAGAATTCAACTTCATGCAATGACAGATCCAACCTAAGTAGGCGAGAGCTGGAAGTTACGTCAAAGAATAATAGTTGAGCTGGTGAATGGTTGAGGCGACCAAATATTGTACCCGATCGCCGGTACAACGGGAAGACTTCTTCGAGAGACTATCGGGGGCATTTTGAGGCATGTAAGATGGCCAATGGGTGGACAGACAGACAAGCCAGAGTCTTTTTGGCAGCGGGTTTACAAGAGGCAGCCGTCAAGGTGTTGTCCACTACAATATTAGTTCGGAGATGACCTACAACGAATTAAAAAACAAAGCAGAGGCTAGATTTGGGCCAAGGAGACCCAGAGGGAACTGAGTCAGTCAATCAGGGAATTGACTGCACTGGTGTATCCGGACATCGCAGATGAAGTTAGGGACCGCCTGGCGAGAAGCCATTTTTCAGATGCGATCGAGGATCAAGCCATACTAGAGGAAATATTTCGAGCGCAGCCAAGAACGCTAGACGAGGCAGTCAGGGCGGCAATATGGCTACAGAAAACTTCCTGAAGGTAGACCAGCAAAGGTCCGGGAGGAACCAGAGGTTCACCAGAATGGTAGAGTCCGACTCTACCATGGAGAGGTTGGAGATATTAGTAGAAAACAACTAGAAACGGATGGCAGATACCAGACGGACAGCCCAGACAGAGACGAAAGACTTGGTGACAGGTTTAATGCAAGGTGGGTCCAAAGGTGGGAAATATAAGATACAACAAGGAGGAGGTCCTGCAGGTGCTGACTACAAGAGGCGACCTAGGGAGGACATTGTTTGCTTTAGGTGTGATAAGAAAGGACATTTCGCCCGCGACTGCATACACCCACCAGCTAAGAGGCACTGGGCGGGAAACGACGTGCAGCCTATCCTGAGGCCCGAGGGAAAGCTGGGAGAAGACAAGGGTTAGCAGACAGCTACGAGCAACCATTAGACGATTGAATGGACGGTAACGTCAGAATGCCAGCAGAGAGGGCAAGGAGAGGTGGTTGACGATAGAGCATGGGTCGCGAGTTTTCTACTGGTGCCGGCAATGTTCACTCAAGAACAATCGCCAAGACAATCTACTGGCGCATTACAAGGATTGTCATCAATTCAGCCGGGATGAAGTAAGAATAATCAGAGTGGAGCCCTGTGAGGATAGGGAGTGTGGAATTCGCTCCAGAAGCGAGTTGGAAGGTCGTCGCTCAAGGGATAAGAAGTCACCTGCAAGGAGCAGGGAGGGGTCACGTTCTGGTGGTTGGAGCGAGACTGAGCTAATGGCAATGTAAACAAGAAGCGTAGCCGGGAGAAGGGGAAAGAAGAGGTGACCAGGAGGCGTGTAAAAGTAAAGAAAGCGCCATGGACAGTGTCTCGCACACCTGATGAGGAGGTCGAAGTACAAGGTAGTACCAGAGCCCCAGATAAAGAAAACCGAGTTCAATATCCGGAGGAAGTCGTCTGAAGAAGCTGCACAAGTAGGAGATAGGGAGGCGGGTAAAGAGGCGCTTGCTGAAGCACCACGGGAGGTTGGAGCGAAGCTGGAGATAAACGAAATCGTAGTCGAAGGTGGATACCAAGAGATTCCAGCGATAAATCCATCACCTACCCCTACGCTTATAATGGATAAAGATGAAGGCCAGAGTCTGGGAGAGATCTGATATACAGCCAAGAGGGAAACGACGGGCAATGATAAAGCTGATGATGGAAGAAGTAGAGCGTCACGAAGACGAAAATACCGCTGCAAACTTGGGGGAGGAGAAACTTCCAACCCTGTCAACCCCATTGCACATCAGCAAGTTGCTACCTGGACAAGTGGTGCGCGTGAGGGAAGTGACAGAGACGTACTCCTACAGAGATGGAGACCAGGTCCTGCAAGGTAAGAGCAGTCGAGAGTATGAGGTCGTCTTCTTCTTTGCAGGTCGTCTTCTTCTTTGTGTGCAGGTTGGTGAGGATTGATGAAAATTCTATCGGGGAGTCGTTCTCGGATGAAGACTTCACTTTGGCCATGATGGGGAACGTCAGACGGGTGACAGAGACTTCCACCTGGGGAGTATATCAGGAAGACATCAAAGTAAAGAAGGAGGAGAAACAAAACACGTACGACGTGGATTTCTTGGCGTTAGGGTCCCCCATACCCGAAGCCCCCAAGTCCCCCATTTCCACAGTATGTTTGCTTTTCCTGGGCCCCGCATCACACCAACTCCGCAGAATCCTTCAGGCAGCCGACATCCGACTCATTCACTCAGTGCCCAACAAACTACAGAACCTGANCCGGCAACTGCTAAACCGTTTCGGATTTTTCTAGTGGAAGTGAGTGGATTCCATTCTTATGACAGTTACTACAATTTATTCGGCGATAAATAAGGACGACAGCACGGAACCTCTCCGCGTTGCTGGGCTTTGGCGGTCCCGAACCTGGCGGTGGTCACAGTACCGCACACCGGCAGCTGCAACACAACACAAGCAGTCAGTGAGGCTTTAATATGTGTCGAGAGATATTGGGAGCCTGATACATTGACGTGTTATAGGCCGATACCAAAACCGAGGACCAGATACCAGACATGGAGTTCTACGCTGGTGGAACCTACAAATACACCTGCTACGACTTCGACGTCAGAGGGTACGGCTGACACAATGAGGGTTGGGTCAGCTGATGGAACGGATGGGGCAGCTGGTGCGGGGAGATCTCCTGGTGAGCAGAATTCAACTTCATGCAATGACAGATCCAACCTAAGTAGGCGAGAGCTGGAAGTTACGTCAAAGAATAATAGTTGAGCTGGTGAATGGTTCAGGCGACCAAATATTGTACCCGATCGGTACAACGGGAAGACTTCTTCGAGAGACTATCGGGGGCATTTTGAAGCATGTAAGATGGCCAATGGGTGGACAGATAGACAAGCCAGAGTGGACGACACTTTTGTCATATGGCCCCACGGTCAAGACCAACTTCAGGAATTCCTCACATACCTCAACAAACAACACCCCACCATCAAGTTCACCATGGAACAAGAGCAAGACGGCCAACTCGCCTTTCTCGATGTCAACCTGTCAAGAAACAAGGACGGTACTCTCAACCATCGAGTCTACCGCAAACCTACGCACACCGACCGGTACCTGCATCAGCGATCCTTTCATCATCCAGCCATCAAGACCTCCGTCAACTGCACCCTTGTTCGCAGAGCCCATGAGATCTGCGACCAGGGCAACCTCAACCAAGAACTCAAGCACACCAAGACGGCTCTCCAACTCAATGGATACAAACACGTCAACCTCTCCAAACCTACCAACAGGACGATAGGGTCTACTATACCTGAAGTCCCCCCACCACCCCCGGCGTTAGGGTCTCCTATACCCGAAGNCACCCAAGACCATCACCACCACCACACGGGCAGTAGGGTCCTCTATACCTGAAACCCAGGCCTCCCTCATACCCCTGGTGTTAGGGTCCTCTCTACCCGAAGCCTACCCATCCCCAGTTTCCCGCCTAAACTAGTTTCCCGCCCAAAATTTGCATCCCTAATCCTCCACTGGATCCAACATCTGCATGCTCCAGTGCACCCTCAGCAAGCCACCAAGCCACATCACGTTTCACCGACTCCAGACAACCTTTATTACACGGCATCCACTCGAGTCAGCACACATTCTCCTGAGGACGGCTAGAGCATACTGGCCTAAACGTCGAGTTGAACACTCATCACCGGTTCTTCTCAGAACCACACCTCTTCCAAAAGAGAATTGTACATGGTGTACCCGCAAACCTACATCCGACTTTTTGAACTGTTAATCATTATTCTTAGTCATATAGTTGTTGAGATGATTCTTGAGCTTACATAAGTCACTAATCAGGGACCTTGGTTATCCCTGTTATACTGTGTTATCTTTAAAGTCTGAGAAAGCTTTATTTTTGTGTAAGACTACCTGCTGTGTAAAGACCAGGATAGGTCAGAGCTTAACTTTGTGTTGATGTGTTTTACGCTGTTAAAGGTCAGGCATCGGTCAGACATTTGTTTTTGTCTACAGGTTTATGCTGTATAAGGACCTATGTGGGTCGAAACTTTATTTTTGCATAAAACCTTATCTTTAAGAAGCTACATGGAGGAATTGGAACCTTTTGTTAAATATCTGAGTTACAGCTGGCAGAGCACCTTTAAAGGCGTTTTTGATTAAAGGAGGTCTAGTTTTTAATGGTTCCTCTTCGTTAATGTCAGTTTATAGGTTAAGGGGCTGACCAAACTTGGGCCGCGGCTGTGTAGTGGGACAGTTAGTTTGTAATGGTAAGACTTGTTAAAGTTTACGTATAACTGGTATGTGGGCTCAGGCTCATAGTGCCACGCACGAATTACGTAGGGAGTTGGTACCTGACGTGGGTCAGCACGTGGCTCGCACGCGGTCGCCCTCGTCTGTCGCTGCGCTCTGTTTGGTCGCAAGCTTGTGTGTGCTGCGTCTCATTTTTCCTCCACTCCGCATTGCCTTGGACCCTGAGTCAGTGGCTGCGCTCCGCAGCCTGGTGTGCCTGAAAACAAGAGAGCTGGGCCGCGTACCAGGGTGAGTTGGAACCCCAGATATTGGGTTTGAGGGGACTTTTACGTTGTCAATCCTGTTTAGAACAAACACCTTTTAAGGTGCCCATAGGTACATGAATAAATATACAAATATACAATCAAGACCACCAGACAAGGTTGTGTATTTGCTCTTTTCACTAATTTCCCCATTGGATATTGTTTGTATCCGGTGTGCGCGTGAGTGTGTGCCCTGGTGCTTGGTGGTAGACTGCCCCGCAACGAGTCTGCTCCCCGGCCTTCTTATTAGACCGCTCGTGGGGTGGCCAAGGCAATACCCAGGGTACGTCCCGTTCCCAGGTCGCTCAAGGAAGTCGCCTGCTCCAGGTGGGCGGCAGCAGAAGTGACATCAGGGGAGGAACACGCCACAATATTCGTCGTCACTTACTGATTAAGGCATACTATTTACATAAATGGAAAAAGCATCGGGCCTAGGATAGAGCCCTCTGGCACTGTTTCAACAGATACGGCTTGAGAAGTAGAACTTTTAAAAGAAACGTTTTGTGTACGTCCGTCAAGGTAGGATTAAAACCATTTTAAAAACGACTTTGTACACCCAAGTGCACCAAGCTTAGTGAGCAACAATGCATGGTTAACCTTATAGAAAGCTTTTCTAAGCTCAATAATTGCAACACCTGTAAGCTTTTCTGCATCAATATTCTTTGAGCAATAAATTTACAAGTTTAGCAAAGGCAGTTGTCGAATGCAACGGCCTAAAACCAGACTGATTATAATGCAAGAGATTATTATTGCCAATAAACCGGAAAAGTTAATTATACACTGCTTGTTCTGAAGTTTTACTTAACACTGGTAACACCGAGATTGGTCTGTATTCAAATGATATATCACCGGACTTATGGAGCGGAAAGACCTTGGCACTCTTCCATGCATTACGTCCATGACCTTTATGAAGAGATTTATTAATAATGTTTGTTAACGAAATGGCCACGATAGGAGCCGACAGCTTATGTAGTCGTTACCCGTTGCTTTCCTAGAATCCATTTTGGATATTTCAGTAACTACACAATTCTCAGACAAAGGTTCGAGATAAGAGATCTCTTCAGGATCCATGTCAGTTTCAACATCAATATTCATTCATTAGACATAACATCAGAGCTTGGGATGACTCCTTTAAACATTTCTAGATAATTTTACTATTTTATGCATTCTCACGAAGAATACCATGGTAATGATCAAATTTACTTTTTTTAACATATGAGTAACCTTGTTACGTTAACTTTTCCCGGGGGGCAGCGTGAACTAAAGCAGCTGTGGCATAATGCCAGCGAGCACGTAGCGAGAGTTTCCGTTGCCATAAACCTATCGTGAACCATATTTTTCAAAGTTCGTTTTTATGAAGTATACTTTTTCCAAGTCGTGTTGTGCCGCCGAATTTTGACTTATTATCAAGTATTTTGCCAATAATGGAGCTGTCTTGATCACGGCTTGGTCATCCCGCAGTATGCCCATTTGCAAACAATGGCACAAATTCTCATACCCCTGACTACCATCAAGTCTGCTTGTGCGTTTTCTACTGGCGAAACGCTGGACAGTGTCAATGTGACGATGTGATATGGCGCCACAATGCGCTGTTCGCCGTATTCTGCAATCTACCAGTGCTACTAATAAACATCCAACCAAACGAACTTTACGCAAGGAGAGCAGTAACGCGGTATCCTCTTCCACAGATCCGACTCACACTTAGCTATTTGGGTTTGTGAACTGCACCGTACAAGATCACTATTAATAAATGAATGAATTCCCATCACGGTTTTCCCTAACCTTGTAGATCGTGTAGTTGGATACCTTTTTGACAAATCGGATGTAGTAGAGTTATATATCAAATTGGTGCCTTGCATCACTTGAAAGTGTTCTCTTGCTGGTGATACGTCTTGGTTTGTTCTACACGTAGTGGCATAGGGCTGTAGTATTGTCCGCCCAATTTCCAGTGTGCTCCAAAGAGCAGGCAAGAGCCATTGTATGTCGGGGATCAACACTTGTGCATGGATTATTTGGAGCAAACGTGTTTGGCCAGTAGAGCAGATTAGGCCATGGCCAACATTTTGTGTCGGTATCTCGCCAACTCCCTGGATGAATTCCGGCGAACTCCTGACCTTCAAAAGTGAAATCTGCGGAGGCGAAGCAATGCCATGTATATGAAAGAACAGTGCAAGATAGTCAGGCAACATTTGCATTTATAGGTAGTTCCAAACCGCTCCCACCGTTTGGATGCATTAACAAACATGGAATTGCCGTTGCGTGACTTTCGTGCGAACGAAACTAGTTGACTGTCAGTGAAACATTTCAATATTGAATTAAGAATGGTCATATATGATAAAGTGTTTTATGGGATCAGTTTCCAAATTAATTTGAATCAGTAACTTAACAATTAATTTTTCAGCAGCGATGGGCGTGGTTGGGCAAGCTCTCGAAATGGAAAAGAGCGTGGGAGACAAGGCACCGACTGATGCTGATAGCTGGCAGTCTTCCTGGTGCCCTACGTACTGAGCATCTACGGTCGGAGATGAGACCCCAACTAATCCTGCGGCCATACAGCAGAATAACATATCTGACAAAGCTTCAAATGGGCCTTGGCCAAAGGGTCGTTTCAGAAAAAAAATATACTTTTAACTTGGGCAACATAACACCAGGAATGACCGTATGTATACCTGGAAATGTGAGGTCCACGGGGCGTCGCTAGTGTCTCAACGTACTCACGGACAACCAGTTTCTGTGTCGTGTCAACGGTCTTCAAGCTCCAACTGGAAAGAAAATAGTTTCATTTAGCGACAGTGATTAAAATTTCTGCAGTAACATTGTACAATAAAAAGCAACTTAGTGTATAGTTAAACTCGTCTCAAGGGGGAAAAGATGGAAAGTTTTATTCCTTAATCATTGGAGCATATGGCAAAGTAATACGGGCGATTCACAATAGTGCGCCTTCAAGAGTTTGCAACACGTGGGCCAATCACAATGCGCGAAATCTGTTGACCCTTTCGAAACAAACATTGGGTCGACAGATTTCGCGCATTATGATTGACCAGTGCGTTGCAAACTCGTGGAGGCACACTATTGGGAATCGTCCGTATTCTTTCCGTTTTTCAAGATATCTCCAGATATTTGTTTTTGATATTATTTTGACCGCATGCACACATTCTACAATCTACAGACGGCTAACAGTATCAAGGTAAACAGTGCCACCCTTTCATGGACACAAAATTATGTAAATGACATGTACAAGTCAACTTCTGTCTACTCTCTAGCCCATCATCATTAGTTTTGAAAGACATAATCATTTTTAAAGTGATTTCTTTAAATGAGAATTTATCTTCAAACAAGAATAACAGTACACGCATTTTGTTGCCACTTACTTCCAAATATTTCAACGACATGCTAGGCCTACCCAGACCGTCATCAGGACTGTGTCGTCGAGGATTAAACCTTCCCAGAACTCTCTGTACTGTTCTAACGCTGTGCAGAAAATATGGACACAACGTGGTAGTTAAAGCCACACTAAATTAAGCAACCCCATCGAAAGGGCTTATAAAATAAACAAAGAATTGATTATCTGTGGATTATGCTTACTGAATCAATTTAAGATACCTTTGTTAATTTGGAAAGAAATGAGTGATCAGAGTGTCGAACAACAATGCATCTACAAAGTTCAAACTGATTTTCCATACCAATTTCACTTTCTATTCCGTGCTTTGGTCATATAAGAGTTGTGTAATTTAAAAGAGCAGCAGCTTATGATGCAATGCAAAATAAATAATATTTTCCACCATTTCATTCCCCAATCTGGGAAAATTGGATTTTCTACGACTCTGTTTTGGCATTTCATCGAGGTAAGTC